AAGTATCCACCAAACCGTCACGAAACCCATCTGTGGTGCTTGACTGTTACTCGCCATAACTGCAAACCACACAAGCGGCGCGGAAGTGTTGAAACAGATCGAATTGTTGTGTCTCTGGTGCTTCTGACATGTCCTATACGTCACTTTGGGGCAGGGAGGTTGACCACAACCACGCAGGGATAGAGAAATCCATATGAAAACCAGGGGATTGATCAACATCGTTTCAGATGTCTCACCAGATGTCTCACAATCGGCTCTTCATTCGTCGGCATCGCTCACGTTTCGTCCCGCCCTGGGCACCCCAACTGTACCTCGCCCTCGGCAGAGACCGCAGGGTTCATGCCTTCCGGTCGGCCGACGACTGCGCAGCCAACCTTCGAACATGGAAGTGAACCCTTGAAAAGAAATAAAACATGAACGGCAAACTGGCAAACCACCTAATTACTTCGTGGTTGAATAAACTGTTAGGATGCGTTATAGGTGCAAATTCGGAGTTGACCCCTCTTTCTTCAGGCACGAACGAAGAAAGACTCCCAACGACTCGTTGCTCTGTTTCGCGGCGCAGAGCTCGGACCACCTCCTGGCCCGCCGAATCGGCGACGCGGGCGAGCCGCCTTCGAAGGAGGCACACAAGGAGCCCGCCAGTGTGGAGACCTCGTCCGATTCATCCGTGCATGCGGAGTTAGGAAAATCATGGCTCGCATCCATGCGTGCGCGGGTTACGCGTGCGGGTTACCGCTGCGGGCGGCTGTCACGAAGTCATGGGAGTCTTGGCCCGTTCGAAGCGTCTATCTTTCAACGAGTGGCCAAGCGAGTATCTGGGGTATGGCGGGTATGGAAACGTGCAAATGAAAATGGGATCACCCCTGGTCCTGAAGCCCGTATATGGTTTCAAAAAACAGGGACTTTAGGAAAATCATGGAAATACGGGGGATGACACAAAAAGTTAGCCTCCGCCGACCCTCTGCCACGTGCAGAGGCGAGGCGTGTCTTGTGGAAGGTTGCTTGTATAGATAGCTTGTAAAGATTGTGACCTTGTCCTTAGAATGTTCCTTGGTGCGGCTGTTTCGTTTCGCTGACTTCACCCCCCTCCCCCCCCCCGTTCTTGCTGTTGCTGTTGTTGTTGTTGTTCTTCTTCTTCTTCCTTTTCTTATTCTTCTTGTTTTGGTTGTTATGTTCATACCTAACCACGGCTTTGTTCTTACAATCCAAACGCTTGGTGGGGCGGCGGACCTGGCCGAAGGCCGTTAAATATAGCCTTTGCACATCTTTGCACTGCTGCGTTGTCAGAATACTACCATTGTAGGTGTCCCTGTCCTGCATGATATGCCGCACTGCGCAGTGCAATCACTGCTCAAAGGTGTAATATCTTCTCCAACTGTGCAGTGCACTCTACGCATGGCATCATGATGCGGTGTCTTCCCAACCATTGTCACCATGACCATTCGCTAGCTTCACCAGACATGGTCAAGGTCAAGTTGGCATGCTCTTGAAAAAGACGTGATGCACCAAAAAAAGATGAACCCCACTTAGGCCTTAGGTCATTGAAAGCATGCAAAGTCTCATCAAAGCTGATGCATCGCTGCTCTGGACTCCAATGCCAATGAGCTGTAAATATTGCCAAGCCAGCTGCAATTGTCCTGCTGATCAGCTGTCCAACAGTCCTGCGAAAGAAGAACATTCTGCCCTGATATTCATCTTCATGGATCAGAAAGCACCAATCTTGTCGTGGATTCCCAAAATGCGTTCTGCCATTTCACAGAGAGTCTCACCATCCATTTCTGCAAGAAAGGGGGTTCCAAAGAAACCAGAACCTCGCTTCCAAACGCTTCCTGCTGCAGGACCAGAGCATCCCGGAGCCCGGATGTAGTGGATCAGAGTTCACTGCGAAGTGATCCAAGTCATGTGAAGGTGTGTAGATGTGGTCATGGTTGGCAGATTGCCAGGTTCAATGCTGTCGAGAACAGCTGTCTTTTGCCACTAAGCTTCAGTCCACCGCTGGCCAATTAACTTGTGACCCCGTTTCATCACTGGTTGTTCAGGTGCCAATTCGCCCTTGGATGAACTGTTGAGCGACCTGGTCAGGTGGAAAGGGTGCAAACGTTGAAGGTCCTTCTACCACGCTGGGCACTTGCTGAGTGGGCGTCGCGCCACCAGTGGTAGATCCGGCGGCGAATTCAACCGCCAGCGGAGGTGCTCCACCTTAAAAGTATGAAGAAGGGGTCCGTGGGACGGGAAAAGAAGAAGAGTCAGAGGTGAAACAAAGTAATATGAGAAGATATGTGGTGCCAAAACACCCCAGTTAAAAACTACATGACGATAGTGTGTCTCTGACTCACATCAAAAGTAGAAGAAGCAAACAGGTCAATAAGGGAATGAAACGACAGAGACTGGGGAGGCCCATGGAGGAGCAGACATGGTCTGAAGGCTCATGGTCTGCAGGGCAGAGTTTGAAGGCAACTGAACGAAGCATTGATGGCAGGCACAATGTAAAGTGTATTGACGCGCCAGGGGGCAATGTATGAATCGTTCCTGGATGTCAATCCAATTGAAGTCTGTCAGTCTGTGGAATATGGGACCCAACCCAAAATAAGCATGCCATTTGATGGACTCTCCTGAGATCCGATTTGCTTCAGGTGTGTCGAGATTCCAAGCAAATCAAGTAGCTTTTGGAAATAAACAGGGATGGTCGGCCAGAAATGGTTTGTTTTCAACTATGCTCCTCTCTATTGGAATTATCTGAGGGGTCCAAGGTTCTCCTCTTCCAATTTCGTCTGCCTTCATGCCTATGAACAGCCAGGGCAAGTCTATAGCGACGCCCCCAACAATCCAGAGGCTTTTAGAGGACGCGCAGCCTTCAAGAATCACTTTGGGCCCCTTCTGATCAGATCTGGTTCCATGTGTTCCCCTTAGCACCAGCACTCTGAGCTACAACTTGACTTTCGCAATTCTCATGACCGCTCAAACTGGGGCCACAGGGCTAGGAAGCGATAAGCGCTCGCCGTGGAAGCGGTGTCATTGGCCTTGGAGTTACAAAATCCTTCTGAAAGCCTTCTGCATCAACTGCTCTTCCTCTTTACCTTGTCCTTTCTGTCTCCAAACACACAAGCTACAGGACATGCTGGCTCAATCTCCATCATCTCCTCTCCTTGAAACAATGGCTCTTCGCAAGGCGAAGACGGCAGGCTTCGCGTCGACCATGCACCTCGCCTGCGCGAGAGCGGTGGCCAAGACCGCCCCAGGCGGACGGAACCTCAGCGGAGCGGTGACGCGCGGAGGAGGAAGCGGTTGGTCCAGATTCCGATGGTGCAAACGTCCACACGCCCAAATGGTCCGCGCTGGAAGAGGAAGAGGTTCTCGGGGTGAAGTCCCGGTGCACAACGCACACTCCAAAGGATAGCTTCGAGAATTTATTCGAAGAAGATTCACGATACATCCAATATGATACGGAGCCTGAAAAAAGGCCCCGCGGAAAACACGTGTGTTTCCTATGGTTATATTATGTTATATTGATTCCTCCCTTGCCACACGAGTGTGACCCAACACTGCTTTCACAGGTGTCAGGATAAAAACAGAGAATCATATCACATCAAGTTGAATAGGCAAAATGATGCAAAATGAACAATTTGGCAAGAAAGGGCGAACAAGCAAAGCAACATTGCAAAGCAACACCATGATTAACCGGGTCTTTTACTGCCTGAAGGCCATGATGAAAAGACTTTGGGCCAGTCCTGTTGTTTGAAAAGACTCCTCATCTCCTTCAACCTCTAAACTCCATGATTGATTCTCCTTGCCATCCGCTCCATGCTCCGCCCCTCCAAGCTCCTCCCTCCGCGTCCGCGTCACGCGGAGTTGGCCCAAGTGGCTCCCAAGGCACTTCACCCCATGCGCTCTTCCAACGTCCACGAGTCAAGGTGGCTTCGAAGGATTCGATGGAAGGATACCTGCAGGGTAGGCCCGATTCACCCTGGATAAAAGCGGGGATCGGGAAGTGAAAATTGGGGCGGGTGGAGGGTAGTGAAAACCCATGGTGAAAAGAGCTATAGGATGCTTGGGAGTGTTGACGTCGCAGCCGCCTTTCACGTCTCTGTCTGGGTCAAAACTTCACAGCCCAATCCACAGCTCATTGGTAGAAAGATGTAGAAAGAAATGGCTTATGAAGCAAATCGCTGTTCTGGGTCATTTCTCTCGACCAGATGCACCGCTTCTCCAACCAAGCATGACCAAGCATGCACCGCTTGCTCACTCGCGTGTCAAGATCGCTCGCGTGTCTTGAAACGCGTGGAGGGTGTTTTGGGGGGGGAAGGTCCCTTTTGGAATGACTGGGGATCTGAGCCGGACCGAGTTGGGCTCCCTTCGACATGAGGCGTATGGGGCAATCGGACCCGAAAAAACAAGCACCAACCGCATCTCTTCTCCCTCCCATTCGACGGCAGCGAAGGTCCCGCTTCGCACTTGCGCGTGTTCGTCTGCTCGTTTGTTTTTCGACGAGTTTCGTCGGACTCCGATCCACATCGGCCGCCAGCAGATCGGACTTCGATGGCTTTTATGTACAGAACATCTCGAAGACACCGAGGCCGGGGCAGTTTCTCGCTGATGAAAGGAGCTGAGTGGTGTATAGTATAGCGTTCAATGGACATCTGCAACTCATAACGTTTGTGGTGCCGGCCCGGGGTGTCTCCCCAGATTTGATTTCTCTGAGTGCCACTGAGTTGCAATTGTATGTCTGCCTTGGAACCCATGTTTTCCTGCTGAAGGCCGTGTTTGTTCTGCTTCGAATTGTGCAGATTCTGACCTTTAGATCTTAACTAAACAAATCCTCAGCAAACCTGACTGACAGGGAAATTGCATGATTTTTTGTTGCATCAACACATACCTTCACCATTTCCCCATTATCATGGAATGTGTTTGACTAACGCTCCAAGGGCTCTGAGGCAAGGAAAGAAGAAACCTTCATATCAAGTCCTGAGTGGAAGATGTGTCAATCCTTTGCAAACGTCAAACATCTTCGAACAAATGCGGGCACTCTTTCTACTCAAACAACGCAACCTGGATCTGTCCGATGAATTTTCTCAATTGGTGGGATAATCCAGGTGCATGCTGAAGAGCAGCAGTTTCAGCTTCGCTTCATCACTCAGCACCTCTGAACTCTTGTCCACCATCGATGCGTGAAGATGAGTACCTTCCGTGACGATCGATCGTGCTTTGCGCAGATCCAGATCGAATGCTCCGATGATGCTCAAAATCCTGCTGGGACCCACCTCCGATATTGCCAGGTCCTCTGTTCGGGAGGGCCCCTGAGTAGTCCGAACAAAACGTTACCAGTACCCCCGAAACTACTGTAAACATCTCAAAAAAGGGAAAAACAAAACAGATGGCTATGGCAAATCTGTGACCCTTGACCAGGAGATATCAGGAGGGAATCTTCCGGAACCACCATACCAAAGACAGAAAATGCTATTTCAATCATTTTCAATCTATATATTTCAGATCACGGTTTGCGCACCACGGTTTGCACATGTTTGGAGTTTCCATCAGTGGTACATGCCTTGAGTTTTTGACGATTCACATTCCATCGATGGATCCAACTTGATGATTCTCACGGCACAAAACCTGGAGATTCAGGTTCACCATACCCATCATTTGGTACCTTTGAGCGCATTTGACAGTTGTTGTTTCAGACTAAATGTTGCCCTTTGTATGACCAGAAATGATTCTGAAAAGTATCACCTTCCATTCATGCGATTAGCTGCTACAGTAGTCTCAGCCTATCTCAGCATGTCTGGTCTCAGCCCACCACACCAGCTCCCGGCCGCCCGCACTGGCTCGTGGCCGAACCGCGCGGCGCACTGAGCTGCCCGGAGAAATACAGCTCCCGATGCCTCGGGAGGTGAAAACGTCGCTCCGGGTGGAGGACGTGTCGAAGGACGGGAACGGGCGGCGACGCGATGGTTTCTCTTGAGAAATAGGCACGGTTGGGCCCTTTCAAGGTTGGCTGGTTGATATGGAGCCTCATCTAAAAGACATCATCTTGGGGTTTGTGCCCGCCGAGTCAGTAGATGCAGGTCGTCGCCTTCGTTTTCGTCTTCCTTGGACCGTCGGACCTTCCTCGGACCGTCCTTGCCCGTCCCTTCTCCGTGTCGTCCTTCCCCAAAAGCATGTTACTATTATAGCTTCTTGTTCCTAGTAGTAAGGCCAGGAGCTACAAGTAGCGTCCTTGTTCCGTTCATAGCGATGCCCTTTGCCCCTAGTGGCTTCTTCTCCTCTTCCAAGGGGCTGCTCCTTGGAGAGATTGAAGTCAAAGGGATCTAATCGTCCACCGCACAGCCTACGACGTTCAAGGCCGGAAGACGGCGAAGAACCCCCGAAGACGAAGAAGGGATGGCAGTTGATTTGATTGAGATTCTCCGAACCTTCCACTCCAAGAAGGGCAGCTGGAACATAACTGTATACATCGATCTGTAATAGACCAATCCCCCATGGGTTGGCCGTTCTATGAATGTGTTTGGGGGAAAGCCAGGAAATGTCAACGTGGGGCCGCGGGCACAGAGTCGAGCCTCCCAGTTCAGCCTCATCCATCTATTCTTAAGGCTCATAGACCATCCCATAGATGGATGAGAGGGTCTTGTGGTTCGTGCCAGCCAGAATCTGCCAGAAGGCTCTGAAAGCCACAAGACCCTGAAACCGAGATTCAGTTCAGATTCTGGCACGTTCTGTTCGACTTACACGTCCAAGAACGAGCAATCACTTGGACTCACGATGAATTCATCTCCAAATCACCCAATTCATTATATACAGATTCTTACATGATTCAATCATGATTCATGATTTTACAGGGCTCCGGACTCCGGACAGACTCCCGGCCGACTCACGAGCCCGTCGCCCGTTCGTGACCACCCCGGTCGCCGGTCGCTACGGATCTCCGGGGCACGTGAGGATCTCCGGCGCGAGCTCGGAGATGCCGCCACCGGTGAGGTTCATCTTGGCGGTGGCCGCCGCAATCTGGAGCACCAAATTGGCGTCCATCATGATGTTCACCTGTGGGGTGGGCCAGGGCGGACCGAAAAATGGGCCGGCGATGCTCGTTGGGATCTTGATGGATCTTTTAGAGCGGTTGGGCCAGGGGCGACCTTGACGGTACTTCAATGGGTGCCATCTTTCCCAAGCGAGCCACCGAAGTCATGGCAAGATCCAAAATGGTCTTCACCGAAAAGAGCGCTGGCCTCGGCTGCGACCGTGGAACCCAAACAACCAAAGAAACCACTGCCAATTCAACGGACTGATGACTGAGTTCAGGGCTTCTTATTCATCAAAGACTTCAAGTGTTCTGTCGCCTGGCAGAACACGCCGGCTGCATGATTTCGCCAATGTGCCTTTATGCTCTGAACGGTTCTCTTTCTTGCGTTTAGGTTTTTGCGGGTGTTCGTTGGGAACGATGCTTGCGATGAGACAGGACGAGATCTTGTTCAGAGTCAAGGAGTGTTGGCTGATTGCGGCCTCATCGCAAGTTCTCCCGGCTCTGTGTGGTTTCAGGGAGGACAGTTGTGTGCAATCATCATTGAAGCCACTGGTGTAACCTGGTGGATCTAACCTGGTGTATGGATCTCCTTCCAAGTTTTCACACATCCTTTATATTGAAGTCAAGAACCATCTGAAGTGCAGGCCGCAAGCGGCAATGCTGCAAGTGGCTCCACATCACCGGTTTTCTGCGCTCCCCCCTTCCACCTTCGACTCGCGGCTCCCGACATTCGAGTCTGTCCCGGTGCCTTGGGGAACTTCTGCAAGGACTCTTCTGGGATGATGGGATCAAGGCCTCAGCCGTGATCCACGATGGTCAGAATAGTGGCTTGTATGACCCCCGTGGCGGGTCCAGAATGTCACACATTCCAAGGTCCCAGGTGGTGTTCAAACTATTTGCATGTCATTTTATACGTGAGAACGCGGGTTGCTCAGGTGAAAAGCTATCTCGCCAGCAGGCGTTCGGCAGATCACACTACAGACCGCACAAGACTCTTGAAAAAAAAACACCCACGTTAACCCTCAAGGCGTGCCCCATCTAGGCAAATCCATCCATCTACATCCCTCCCTCCTACTCTACAAACCCCATCGACTCCGTCCCCGTCCGGACCCCGCCTGCGATGTGGTGCTGGATCCAGTCCACCGGCCTCGGTCGGTTCCACCGGAGTTCCCTCGACCGCGTCGGAGCGACTTCGGAGCTGAGGTCAGACTGACACCAGTCGGGCGGGCTCTGATGTAGTTGAGGTGGCGGGCTCAGGCGGGCTGGATCTTCCCAAGTCCAGAATCTGCAATTGTTCAATAACTATAACGCTTTTCACTTCATCCCTCGCTTTGAACCCCCGTTCCTTCATGCTCGCTCGCCCGTGAAACCGCTTGGAACGTCTTCCCCGTCTCCCCATGGTCTTCGACAGGGCACCGTGACGAACTCGTCGCGTGACGATTCCCCGAGGTTCCCCGGCCGAACCATGAGGCCGATGCGAACCTCCGAGCTGGGCAGAGCGTTCATGGGGAAGTCGTTGCCTCGAGGGCGAAAAACCGTCGTTTTGCGAGGCGTTGTTGGAGCGGAGCCCAGAGAAGGGCAGATAAAAGAATGATAAAAGAAGAGGCGTCTTCTTTCCAAGTTGAGGTCCGTCGTGTCTTTGGAGGAGATCTGAAAGTTTAGCATGATTTTTTCAACAAATTCAGACATCCATAGAACCCCATAAAACCATCTGGCGCAGGGAAGGACATGAGACAAGTGGCACATACCTCCATCGCAGTACATATGTCCTGCGGCGGTGTGAAGAGCAGGACAAGTAGCGATAGCGACTCTCGGACAGCTTCGGGAGTTGAAAGCGCGAGAAGCCCTACAAATCAGTGGGATCCGAGCATTCTTCGACCATTTTTTGTTTCGCCCAGCTGGGGAAGTCCAAAATCGAGCCCAACTTCCAGAAGCTCAGAAAGGATCGATCCGAAAGCTGGTCTCATGCTCATTGCTCTTATGTCCCGTTTTGGCACACCAGAAATAACAAAGGAACTGATCCGGACACCCAGCTGGCACCTCCCGGCCGCCTCTCCTCGATATTTGAAGGGTTCCATTAATCCAGGGACTCCCATGGACATCCTCACTGCTGCGCGCAGGGGCAGTTCGGGGTCGGTCTCCTTAAGCGCCGCGCTGCGAGCGCTGGCAGCGGTATCATCACCCCGGGAATCAGCGTGGAAAAGAGCAACGGTGACGGGTGGCCGAGAATCTTGTGATGAGTTGGTTTTGGTGGACGGATTACTATGATCCAAAGTAGGTCTCAAATGAGATGGGGTACTCACCAAGCACTATCCAGGAGGTCTCTTGCTTGAATACGAAGCTATTTGGGAGCAGAACACACCACCCAAACCATGGAATTGTTGAGCATCTGCCAGGCAATGACTGTTTATGCTCCAGTTCTCTGGCAAGGGCACGGGGTAGTGTTGACCCTCTCACATTCACAAAATAACAAGAAGACACCCCCAAACAGCTGAGTTGAGTCCCACAAACAGGTACAAAGACAAGTACGGTATATCCAAACCTCAAAAACAAAAAACATCTTTTAACATCCCAATCGATTACAACAAACTGTCAAATGACCACCCCGTTAGGGGCATTGCTCTGCTTCGCCCAGCGTCTGGAGTAAAGCGCCGCTCTTTGCCAGAATCCAACTCACAGGCTAAGATCACCAAGCGCTTTCCTTGAAAACGATCGGGCCGCGAACCAATGGAGCTGAGCCCGGACAGAGGGTGTGGCTCAAACACTCACGGCATCTCGGGTGGGATTGAGATAGACTTCAGATGCACTACGAATGTCTTGTTCCTTCAAGACGGGATCCTTGAAAACCTGTTTCGTGATACTGAAAAAGGACACCGGTTGATCCTTCGCCGTTCGAACAGAACTGAACGTCGCCGGTGGTCGCCGTGGGTCCGGACCGTCCCGTTCAGTGCGTCGGCCGTGTGCGGACCGCCGAGAGTCCGAAGCGATCCTGCACCGCCTTCAGGGTGATGTCGGCGTCTCCACCTGAAGAAAAACATGAAGAAAAAAACCGGTGTCCACCTGACTTGTGCTGAATCTTATAGCTAAAACCTAAGGAATGGAATGAAAGTAATGGAATCTCTATGGGAGCTCATTCCCTTATTCTCTACGTGTCGCACGTTCGTCAGGAGTTGTTGGAGTCCATGTGAGCCACACACTTCACTCAGTGACCAGCCCAAAAACTGTTCAGTAAATGATATCAAGATCTGTGTGTTTTACGCTATATGGTGCTTAAAACACGTGTTTAAGAGTGTTTTTCACAACACTCTATATGGATATCAAGATCTGATGTATACTGCATGTCCAACATGAGCACTCCAAGTGAAGGCTTGATATAGTGAGCCTCACCTGCGTGCCTCTGGCATCGGATGACAAATTGATCCGGTCCGAGTGGACATGGCGCAATTGGTCGTTCTGGGTTATGGTGATGTTTGGTCGAGAACATGGCACACATTCCCCTCACCAAACCTGCCAACAAGTGACTACCTGGAGGTCTCTGTCCGACTTCGTCACCATCCTCGCGACTTCGTTTTCTTGGCGTTTTTGTTCGGCGCCCCTGTCCGAGTGACAATGTTGCTTCAAAGCATTTCCAATCATCTCCTCCAAGATCGAGCCGCTATTCAGCCCAGGGCCGGTGCCATCTCAGATGCTTTGGAGACAAATGGATTGTTCAGTGTGAGGAATTGAAGTTGAGAGAATCGCTGAGACAAACAAAAGAAGATTGCACATCCAATCAACTGTCTGTCCAAAATGAGACAAACAGATTGAAGAATTGCTGACAAACATCCAGACTTCAGCGACTCGATCAACTGAGGCTTCTCTTGAAAAGGCTTGTATAAACAGGAAAAACTGTAAACATTGAAGACTTGAAGACTCTAAGACTCATATGCTTCGCCATACAGCAGGCAAATCTTGGAGTTGTTGGGCGAGTCCCATGTGGTGGTAAGTCACAGATCTTTCATGTCTACCACTCTGAAATACATGGGATCGCAAGAGAAGGCTCTCCCCAGACATTCCAAGGAGTTCCTCGCCTGCAAGGCACTCCACCACTGCTGCGGCTGATTCGCCCAGGCAGGTCTCCAAGATGCTTTGCCTCGTTTCACGACGTCGGACGGAGTGCAGCCGTGAGGCCAAGGTCGTTGGGTGGGGAGCAGTTGCAGCAGATTTAGTTGAGAACTGCTAAATCAACGACACATCATCAATGTGTTTGCTTAACAGATTTAGCTTCAGTTGATGGTCCATAATGATTGATGTGTTGCTAAGAAATGGTCTCTGTTCGAAGTGCAGCGCTTACTTGTTCCACACGGAGTTGATTTTAAAAAAACATAGGAGCAAGTGCTCAGAGGAGGAAGACGTGACGTGATACTTGGTCCATCCCCAAAAATGCATGTTCAGCATTCATGCCCGATTCATGGCGGTTTCAAAAACAAAATTGGACGTCCCGAACTGAAACGAAAACATATCGAAACAGTGCCCCAACCGAACCGAAGACGCACCGTTTCAGCCATGAAGATGGGAGTGGGTGAGCTGCACACCGCAGTTCACCCACCGTCGCTATCTTCGAGCCTGAAGGGTCCAAAAAGTCCACCCACTCCCAATGCCTGACATAGAAAAACTGCAAAGAATCGTGTTTGCCTGAGTCACCGGAGGAGCTGATACATATAGCTATTACAGAGGCGATGTCTTCGTCCGGTGGCTTGGTGACATATGCGTGAGGAAGTGCCAACGCTTCACCCGATGTGAAAACCTCCTCCCCACACCCGGTCGTCCGTGCGGTGACCGGGTCACAGTGACCACACCGCGCTCCTCCAAGTCACAAGTTGGTTCCAAGAATTCGGACCTCCAGTTCCGGTGCAAACAGACAGGGATGGAGGTCCAAACGAAGCCCAAAGACACATGGTGGGTGAACGTTTCTATGGAAGATAAACATCTGTTGAATTCGCTTGTTAAAAAAATAAGTATAACAGATGTGAGACTGATGTAAGTAGGTAGCGGCTCAAGAACTCAAAGACTGGGGGAAGATCCAGAGTTTCTGTCCATGTTCACCAATGGTTTAAGGATGTTGGTGTGTCCACGGTGTTTGAGGCCCACAGCTATGTGAACTTCATTAATGGAATCATAGGTGCCCCGGCTGCTGATCATCAGCTGGCCTCACTACCCTAGAAAATAGTATCATGCACCACTAAACGTATGGATGCGTCCTTAAATAGTTAAATAGCGATGCCCTTGTTACAAACCATGCGTCAGGCCAACACAAACCATGCGTCATCACTTCACCAGCACACATGTTTCACTGGATGGCCTAGAGGCGGTTCCAAGGGAAAAAGCACTCGCCAATGCGGTGGTGTCCACCCTTTCTGCCACATCCCGTCCGTCACGGAGACGGCGAGCGATGGCGATCGCCACCCAGGTGCGAGCGCCCCAAGCTCTGGCAGGGCAATCTTGTAGAAGGGAAGCTCTTGGACCCTCAGAAGTCGGGGTTTCGGTTCTCTTTTCAATCTGCCAAACAAGTGAAAAAGGGAAGAAATCCTATCTCTTTTCATAACAAGAGATGGAATGTTCTCTTTTCATAAGGGAATTTTGGGCCCCTTCTTGTTATGGGATGTGGCTGGAGATCGAGTCTATGTAGGCTGCGAAGTCCAGCCACACCCTGACAGGTCTAGGTATGACCACCCCAACGAGACTACACTACCGCGAACTTTCGAGGTGGAAGGGTGGAGTGAGCACGCGGCGCATGCCACGGGTAGCGCATGCGGTTTTTCGCATCACTGGCAGGGAATACGAATCGCTGTGCAAAACCTTGAAAGAGATCCAAAGGACATGGGGGGGTTGCGAATCTGAGGCATCAAGTTGTGCCGCAACAGATGTGCAAAGAATATGGAACTTCCAAAAAGCTCAACAAATCCCTTAATAATTCTTGAATTGGAGCTCCAAGGAGCTACCCTCGATCGACCCTTCAAGAGTGGTAACCAAGAGTGGTAACCGTCGAAAAAGATCGAAGCGGTCCATGTGAGCAGAAGCCATGAGAGCATTCTCCTGTAGCTGTGATGGTCGGGATTGCTCTCTTGCTTTCTCGGAGTCTACTTCACTTTGAATCACGGTTCCATCCTATGCAGTCCTGGCATACCAAGTCGATTACAGTATATAACTCTTCTTCATGCCCAAACCAAACCTAACCCACTTCCAAACCTCGCGGCTCAGCGTGCCCTCCCGGCTCAGCACTGCATTTGCCCTGTCACGTCCCACTCTCCCACTCTAAGGGTCAGGTCCCAGGAACCCCCCAGGACGCTGTGCAGTCCAGGCACAGCTGAAAGATCTCCTCGGCCTGGCAGCCCACGGCCAGCATCGCCGCCACCACGGAGCCCGCCGAGACACCTGGCTCCCGAGACCGCTCGTTTGGGCGGTGTGGAGACGTGGTCAGGCTGCAGTTTCGCCGGTGAATCTAGGGGAAGAGATGAAGAGATGGAGATCAGTTCATATGGTTTTGACACGTTTCGATTGCTTAGATGATCTGGAATCCTTTTCTGGATCTGTTGGAGACCAGGTTTGAATGGAGAATTTACATCTTAATGCTTTCGACACATTAAAAGTGCAATAGATGTTCACTACTCAAAGTTTCGCCCTTCAACCTGTTGACATCACACAAGGTGCAAGTCACTTGAAACCTGCCGTGACATACATGTCGTGGGAGGACTATCACCAGCTTGACCCTTCTGGAATTCACAAAGGGAAAAAGCTTGTTACCCTTGCACAAATACAAATATGGGTACCATCACAAGGACTACCGGCTACCGGCTCGCGCCTGCAATCGTCTTGAGCTTCCTGATGTTTTGCGAAGGAAGCCAGACGAAAAGGCCGCCTTCTCTTCAACCCCAAATTCACAGACACAAAACGGCCGGCTGGCTCGAATTCCAAAGTCGTATACAGGTTCCAGGCTGGATAATCTGGATAGGGGTGTGTTCTGCGCTGAGACAACTTCCTCAGATTGACAGGAGCACCATGCTGGTTCTTCAGGTCCCCCTAAGGGTGGCTAACGGACACCCCTTAACTTCTAAGGGGCTATTAATAGATAGTTCTGGGGGGGCCCTGGCAGGGATCAGTCTTGAAGATCTATAGCCAGTTCGCCAGTTCTTTCGGCCCAACCAGTGTGTCTCAAGCTCCCTCGGAATTTCGGTGGCTCAAAGACCAAGAACCGAAAATGGGGAAGACCGGCAGATTTGCTGCTTCTTCCAGCGGGTTAACACAAATAGCTGTGATAGCTGATGATAGCTGCAGGTTTCTTTAGGTGGGGAAAAACAGAGAGGCCAAGTTTTTGTGTTCTCTTCGAGTCAAGCCAACCTCAAGTCACATGTGTCAGGGATGGCCAAGAAACAAAAATCGGCGAATGGCTCATGGCGACCGTTCTTTCCGATAAACAAAATGCAACAAAGCAGGGTTCTCCATTCGGTAATCATCCCCCAAGGGTGGGAGGGGGGTCCTCCAATCAGCCAAGGGGCGAGTATTGCATTCCATGCCGCTCTAAAGCACGAAGACCACCAACGTGGGTGGCAGCCAAAATGCCTCGGAAACAAATCGGACGTTTCAAATCGAACTTGTTGATGTCTGAAGATGCTACCATAACACGCAATTGTACCTTCAACTCAAACGATTAATAAAATCATCTGTGTTCATGACATGGCCACTCTTCGGTAGTCAAGGCCAGTGCGAAAAGTGCGTTTCACCCATCACCAAGCAAACAATCTCAGCAGGTCTCATCCACGTCACTGCGGTGGAATAGAAACATGAAGGTGTCTCGTGCATCTCCACATTCTCCTAGCCTCACATTAAAATCCCCAACCCTGTTCAATGAGCAGAAGTCCAGGAAAGAACCATTAAAGAAATAATACTTGTAGCTTGTATATTACACTCTGCCTTGCACTGTAACAGGGGGAAAATGGGTGATCATGGTTGTCATTGAGATCACAGCCTCCACACAGAAGCAGAATGAAATGTAGGTAGGGCGACCTCCCAAAGACCCAAGCCCATTGGTTGGTGGTCTGCCTGCTAAAATACACACCCATGTTCTCTGTGACAGCTTGGGGGCCTCGAAACCAGTAGAGTCCGGTGACCCGTCACAGAAACCGACGGACACATTGCTCAACTGCACCGGTGCACCCGACACACTGCTGGGTAACTCCATGTCAAAAGAAAACGCAACAAACAAGAAGCTCAGCAAGTTAGCACACACGCAAAAAAAAATAAACAAAGCAAAACACACACACACATAAATAAAACACACACACAAACACACATTCAACTTACAATACACACACACATATATATATATATATATGTTTCCCCACTTGGCTCCACATCTCACCTTCTTACTCCACTGGACCACTTGGTTGCTCCCCCACGACGAGGCACCGCAGCCGTAGATCGCCAGGGCCGTGGCCTTCTTCACCTCAGCGACGGACCGTCACGTGACACGGCAGACGTGTGACGACCGGCGACGACCGGTGGAAATCGACCGGTGCGACTCGACCTGTGTTTCTAGTAGCGATGCCCTTTGCTCCTAGTAGCTTCTTGCTCCTAGTAGTAAGGCCAGGAGCCCCTAGTAGCGTCCTTTGGTTTCCGGTCTGGGGAGGGGCTTTCCTTCTTTGGTGTCTGGGCTGCCTGGGGTCGGCCGCCTGGGGAAAGTTTTATATATTTATATAAGTTTATACAGAGATTCTCTAAGTGTCACTTTAGTTTATTAGACCTTCTATTGCAAAAGACCCAAGGAGACAGCGTGTGGTTTACTTAGAGATCTGATAAAAGCTGAAGAAAACTCCTACAAGTACATCACCAGGCTTTCAGGCATGCCTGGTAAACCGTATGAGGTTCTAATGTGTCCCCTCAATCCCCCCCTGCTGTCTGCACATAGTGCGAAAACAAACAATTGCAACCGGGGGAAATGTAAAATGTCTTCTAAACATCCTTGGAAACAGTTGGCACAGAGAGGGAAAAAGAGAGAGAGAGAGAGAGCAAATGCAAGGGCAAACTCAAAGTCTTTCTGTTGCTATGCCGCCTTCACAAGAATCGTGCATCCATCTTTCAGTTCAAAAAAAACTCCTCATATCCACTAATTACCTCTATAATTACTTAAAACACTATAATTACAACTGAAAACAATATATTATAACTCCATCTCTCTCGCATCTCTTTGCTTCTCATTAGTGGCAGCCACTGTACTATGTTCCTCCATCTGCCCTGCACCTCTCAGCCCGGCTGCATGCGCGTTGAAGCTCGGTGCCGCCTCCGGCTTCACCGAGGCGATCAATTCCTCCGCGACCTGCATTGGGTGGGCAGACCGGGTGGGTGGCCCGCACAGCCGCTGGTGACTGAGGGTGGTGGGGATAGAAGGGTGGCCAGATCCTGTGATTAGAAGATCAGTGCATCTCAGATCGTCTTATTTGTGGTGCTCACAGCTTCAAAGCGAGATAATTCTGGAGGTTCGCTGCGAAATACAATGAAATTCGAGTGATTTATGATGCCATGCGGCTATAGACTATAGACGCTTGATGAATAACATCTCGATCTGAAGAGGTTTTGAAACTGGACTGTGCAAAAAGCTTTTCGGCCCAAAAAACCGCTCCAGACCCCAGACTAGCGAAAGCGGCCTTTGTTTGGGCGCACGACGAGCAGGCATCCCCGAACGAGCAGAGACCAGTCCCCGACCATCCCTGACCTGTGAATTTCACGGCGTTTTAAAGCATGACCACAGCCAGAACCCACATGGAGATATATGGGATCCGGTCGATATGTCTTCTTCCAAACATGGCTGAAAGTCGTGTTCACATGGGGGCCCGCTACATATTCTTTACTTTTGGCACACACATAAGCTACTTTCGACCCCTTTATCTAGTTTTTTTAATTATAGACTTTTGGCCGGACTCCATATACTGCTGATTACTTTTGAATACTTTTGAGGGAGGCCAAGTCTTCTTTCAACTTCCATCCTCTTCTATCCGAATCTCATCGTTCACATCGGCCATCACGTCAACCCAAAGATCCGCTCCCTCCACGCTCAGCGCTCAGCGCTCAGCGCTCCGAGCTCGGCCTTTCTTCGGCGCTCCTGAGCGCCTGGACAGCTCACGTCGAAGAACCTGGCTCTGCGCCGCCCAGTCCTGGCCACGACGTCGTGGGTGGGGCGGTCCCAAACGTCCCAAACGGGCGATGGCGAGGACGGTTGGGATGGGATCCGGGATGCCTTCCAGATCCTGGAATGACTCTGAAGGCTGTCCAGCCAAGTCTTTGGAGCCTTGTACTTGTTGGAAACTTGAATTGATGTGAAGTTTCCTCCACAAAAAGCTTGTGATTTATAGGCTTGCTCCAGATTTGGACCTCCATGAACTCGGAGAAATGCATGATGCTACTATGGTGTTCGACCTGAACTGAGGTGATCACAACATGAAAAGGAAAGGCTCCTGTTCGGTCATGTTCCGTCCAATTCAAGCAAACTGACATCACCACCATACATAGCAAACCGCAGTGGGCAAACCGCAGTGGGCTTGGAAGAGGATGTTCCTTTCCACGTTGTTATAATTTATGTCGTGTGGAAATCAATGTCCCATTAGATGGGTTCAAATCACTTTTCCCGCATTTCAGAAATTGAGGCTGGTGAGAAGGGAAAAGTCCTGCATTTGCCTTGACCAGTCATCACGAAAGAAGACCAGAGAATCTCACCAAAAAAAGAGACGATAACAGTAATTACTCTAAATTTCACTGGAATGACTTCGAGACACAGCAGGTGCATCTGTTCATGCAGCGGGTTCTGGCTCCTCATCCTTCAGGAAGACGCATGGCTCGGCAGCTTTCCGAGCCCTCTTGACTCCGCAGTAGCCGCCATAGAGGCAAGGCGGCAGTACAATGCCTGGGTGCTTCGGCCGGAAAAGGTGCCGAAAGGGTTGATTCTCAAAGCTCATCACACAGTCACGAATCGAAGGGTTTGAAAAAGCTCCTAGTAGCGTCCTTGCTCCTAGGTAGCAAGGCCAGGAGCCCTAGTAGCTTCTTGTTCCAGTAGCGATGCCAGGAGCCCCGTTCGTAGCGTCCTTGATGAATCTATATACGGTTTTAAAACCTGGCATCAAATCGGATCGGTATGGCGAGATCTACCCATGTTCATTTCAACCCTCGGCCAGGTGATCCCGATTCCTTCGGGTCGCCGTGCCGTTCCGCGGACCCCGTGCTCAGGCGGTCGGGCGCTCAGGCGCTCGGGGTCGAACGAAGCAGGACCAACACGAACAGCTGTGAAAGGTCTGGTGATGTACACCGTGTTGTCTACGAAATGTCCTCCTTTGGGATACTGGCAGACCACCATGTTTAACTGGTAAACTGTTGAAGTCTCTCTGTTTGAGACATGATTCCCAGTTCCACCCACTTTGATCCCACAGTGACTCCAATTCGTTCCAGGAGCAGATGATGGTCACAGCCCGAAGCCACAGCAATAGCAGCGTGATCCTCACTGAAACTCACACATCACACTCATCCTAGGTCAAGCTTGACCAAAACAATCCTGACCCCTGAAACAAGCCTCACAAGCTTAATAAGGCACCAGGGTCTCGAGATCTGTGCAGATTGTTTGGAATGTGACAACGGAACACCAAAACGTGTTTGGTCGATGGATCAGCTTCTTCAGTACGTGACCTTTTTGGAGTCCCCAAGTCGCTAAGTGACCTTTTCCAGGCCCAAGTGGCCTCAAACAAAGGGATCAAAACGTCAACTGAAAGCCAGGAAACTTTTTCATGCGGCACCTGGCCTGTTGTTCTTTGAGAACTCTGTCTGCAAACCAAAGGATCATGGCAAACTGCCAAGTGACTGAGTCATTAGCCATCCTGCTCAAGATGGATCGCCGGAGACCTAAACGCATTTGGATGTGTATGTTAAAAGTGAGACCCAGGTCTCCCTATTTTACTCCACTATAAACACCCATTGTCTTGTTAGAGTCATTGGTAAATCTCTTACACCATCGCATCGCGGCAGGAACTCTTCCCAGCCCCTGGGGCTTCCCAATGAATTTGACAACGATGTAGATATATGCAGATGTATATAGATACCTTTCTTTCACACCTAAGAGTGAGCCACCAAATATCCCTGTGTTTGACACAAATCCGACCACATGCCTCGACAAGACCCTTAATCAGCACCCGGTGACGACCACGACCTCCGCCGTTCTGCCCGGGTGGCGAGATCATCAAGAGGCTCAGAAAGACCACGATGAAGGCCAAGCGTGGGAGGCCGTGCGTCAAGAACCTCCCGAAACGAATGGCACAGTGTTCCTTTCGTTGGAGACCAACGTTGGCTTTCCAACGGAGCGTTTTCATACGTGAAGGACCGGTGACCAAAACGGAGCGTTTTAGGCGCGGGATGGCAATGGCGCGGTTTTGGCGCACCAATGCTGGTGGATTCGGAAGAAAGGGCGGCCACAACTTGGGCCTCGTGGATGCGCCTCTGGGGTGATGAAAAACCACACGGCCTGGGCCTGAGGTTTAAGCTCTATGATGGAGGGGAGGATCCCAAAAATGTAACACTGAACTTGACCATTGCGACACCGGTATGATCCTTCCGCTCTTGTCGCTCCCAAACGGCTCCTCCGAATCGGCTTTTTTCGGGCGCCGGTCCGGGGTTCACCCTGCGGCCGCCGGGGCCCTGCGGCTGCGCCTGTCGAGGGTGATGTGAACTTTGGGATGGGAGGGAGCCGGGATGAAGAGACCCAGCAGAGGTCGATTGGCATTGATGTAGTCCAAGACCTGGCCGATGTAGGCCATGCACCGAGACAGACGTCCGACTTCTGGAGCGAGAAAACCTCGACGAGGTCTCCAAGCATTGTGGCGACGCATGTTCATTCGGTGAGTTGCTGGGATGCACGATGGGGTCTGAGAAGGCGTGTCTTTTGAATATGTAATATGTAAGTAAACTAAAGAAAAGACGTGAGGATTCGGAGTGACAGGCTGGGAAAAACTGTTTCCCAACCTTAAAGCCCACCTTCAAAACAGGAAGGCACTTGCTCCCGGGGTGAGTTCCGGACCCCGGGTGCCACCCACCAAACGACCTCAGAAGCACCAAGGCCCGAGCCAAGAACGTTGCGGAAACGACTCCGTTTCAACAGGGATTTGGAACCAAGGTCCTTGTGGGAGGTCATCTATGCAGTGACCCGTACACAAATAGAATCGATTAGAATCCCAAAAAAAAGAGAGAAATTCCAGCCCAAGACGCTCTTGGAATGTCGATGTCACTCTCTAGAATGTGCACGAGATGTTCCGATACCATGTCCCAGATGGCTCCGATCGATCGATCCTCACAAACGAGTCTCCGATTGATCCTGGCGCGACCGCGCAGTCGGCGCGACCGCCTTGTGCCGCGAGACCGCGCGTTTCAGCTCTTCACGCAATCGGTCTTTTGGGGAAAAGTCCTGGGCTGCAGCAGCTGACTAGCTGTGTGGTATCTGTTTTTCATCAGTTTGGGAACGGAAATGGAAGCAATGTCCTCGGGATGTAGACAACATGATTTCAAGCACATGTTTCAAGAGAGTTCTAGCGGTCGATCAAATTGGAAAGGACTGCTTTCAAAAGCACTCACTATCTATATATATATACATGCACGAGGTCTTGGGTCGCATGTCACGTCAAACCAAGGGACCCATGGGGATTTTCTCGTCGATAGAGAAAGAAAGAAGATGTGCTTTTTGGACTGGAGCACCACGAGACGAATCAAAAAGATTCCCCAAATCAGAGCCTTTGAGACCATCAAATCTGAACCAAGTACGAAGCGCTGAACTGTGGCGAGACTTCCCCGGATGGCCCAACTGTTCAAAGGCAACATGCGACATGAAGTGTCATGAAGTGTTCGTCTTTGCACCCTTGAAGGTCAAAAATGAATCAGAGGCGGCCATAGTGCACACCAATGCGGACTTCTGTTTCATTGCTGTTGCAGGGGGTCTAACATCACCTTTTTCTTCGGTCCTCCTTCTCTTCCATCACCTTGGTGCAGAAAGGAGCTTTAAAAAACTGCTTTGTCATGTGCTCTGCGTTTTCCCGCAGCGAAATCACTGTGGTTGTGTCTGCGACGGGCCACCCTCCAAAACTCCCGAGCCTGACACGTACGTCCCTGCAAAGAACACGTGACATGTGATACTCTTCGACTATCTTCGACTTCTAGATTCAAGACCATAGTTCCTATGTTCTGTGAAATTCTGCGTTGTCTGTTCTACTAACCTGCATTCATGTGTGTATGTGGAGAGAGAGAGAGAGAGCGAGAGAAATACTTCTTCTATCCCCGATCAACTGCAGTAGGGGGGTGTGGATTTTGCACTTCATAAAAATCTATGGTGTATAAAATGGAAAACCAACATTTCCATTTATAAAATGGGGTTTTGTGTTTATAAAATGGAAATTCTATCTATATATAAATAGGGTTGCCCCCATACATGTTTGCAAAGCACAATAACAGCCTAAACGTGTCCCTTTTACAAAATGCATTGTCCGTAGTGACGATGTAGCTGAAGTGTATGTTCATCACACAAGCATGGCCTTTATAAAATGCTTCTGCCACACGTCAGCTTTCGCATACTTTGACCATCTTTTTCCTTCTCTCATCGCTGGTCCTCTCTAGGACGGATTCTCAGGATCCGTGCGAACAGTCGGCATCTTGCATGCATATGTGTCTTTGACCAGTTGCAAAAAAGCCTTGCGTTCAGGCTTCTGCCGCCTCAACTGACCAAGGAGCACAGACAAGTCCTGGTAAACCAGGATCCCATAGCGTTCCTGGTTCCGTTCCTTAAAGAATTTGTATTGAAACATGGCTGGAACACGATCCAAGAAGCTGGTGAAGTTAAAATCGGACATGTTCTTGATGCAACAAGTCATGGTCGACTTGTTGAACGTCGGGTTGCTCGTGAAGTGTAATGCCTCCAGTTCCGCTGCTTTGGAGACAATGTCCTGGATGACCTTTCGGCCTTGGACGCTCCTGCGGATTTGAGAAGCCGGTGGCATTCCGTTCTCGTCGACCGCAGCAGTAGTCTTTGTCTTGCGTAGCTGATAGGAGTTTGCGGCAGTCTTCAACTTGCTCTTGATGACTTTGAACCCTGGTTGCTTCCTGCTCTTTTTCTTCGAAGCCGGCAAGGCTGGTGCAATTTCGGACTGGATTTTGACCAAAGCTTCCATGGACTCCTGCGTGAGGATGATGATCCCTTCATTCACCTTGGTCAACTCCGAGTTCACGTCTAGGATGGCCATCAAATTGTCTATTCCATAAAGCCATGTGTCCCGGCTTGGAGACAGCTGCTTTGCATCCTGGTCTGTCACTTCCAAAATTGTTGCTCGGAAAGTGGAAAGGCACTGCACTGGAACTTCCTGCGGGCATGGTCGTGGTTTCTTTCCTCTTGGCCACACAGTGTGGACAAGTGCAGGCACTGGCAAGGATATACCAAGATTGAGGATGACAACCTTTCCAGTCCTGGGCTTGGGCAACTAATTATAGTTTATAAAATGACTATTGGCCTGTTGGAATTCCTTCACTACCCTGATTGAAGATTTATAAAATTGGAATCACCCTGACCCTTGTAGTATGACCCCTTTAGTTTCAGGCAAACCCATTTTATAAATTGTATTTGCGCCAGGAAAAGCATAGAAAAGATTGGAAAAGCAAAAGGATTGAAAAAGTACAGGCAAACAACAACACACAAAAAGACATGACAAATTTGAAGGCGAAACTCTGGATCTTCTCCGGGTTGCTGAGCCCTGCCTTTTCCCGGACATCGGCTGAGTGCTGAATCCATTTCGAAATCCTGGATCCTCTCTGCCCCGCACCCATTTCGTCTGCATCCATGCGAAGCTCTTTTAACTGCTGTTCCAATGACCTGTTGTGCGCATTGTTCAGCAATGAAGCGTTGAGTGCAACAAACACGAAAAAGGAGCACGGGCCTACACCACCCTCAAACTATTTGGATTTCAAAAGTGGATGTGACCATATGTGACCAGTTCAGTTTATTGTTCAGGTCCAAAATGGTGCCAAGTGACTGATGCCAATTCATTTTGCGACTCCTTTTCCGAACCAGGTCTCCATCGGCCAGGAACTGGCTGTCTAGTCCATACTTGCCGCACCGGAGGACAATGCTCAGCTGCCACAAGCCGGACCACCAATTCTCATGGCACAAGGCCTGCTATCCCGAAAACATCAGGGACAGAAGAACAATTCATTTATAAAATGTCTTTTTGCATTTATAAAATGCCTTTTGTATCATGTTGTTAAAAACACATATACATGTTGGACAAGCAAGATCCACATGCCTCTGACAGGGTCTTGGGGTAAGACTTGAAGTCGCGGGAGCTCTTTTGAGCACTGTCTGAGGCTGTGAGGTCAACCAACTCTGGCCCGTCGGGCAAATGAGCATCTAAATCCACCGCAGGCTCAACCAACTCGCCATCTCCCTCTGGATGGTCTTCTTCAAGCTCCGTGGCTGCGACTTGTTGCATCTGATCCAAGATGTTCTGCATGTCCTTCTGCTCAGACCCTGCCGATTCCTCGACCTCCATTTCAAGGTATGCGTGTTCTAGAAGGTCTGCCTCGCCATGGGCTTCTGCATCAGGTTCATTGAAGAAGTCGGCATCACTCTGACTTTTGTAGAGTGCCTCTAACTGACGCTGGTCCATCCCAGAGCACCGGCTGACGAGCAGCAAAGCTGAAGCAAGGGCTTTGCGGGCACACACTTTCATCCTGAGTCAAGGCAAGCAACAAAACACCTACCTATTTATAAAATGCTTCATACGACACCACAAAGGAACACAGATACAATTGAAACTCCTTTTAATGGCATCTTATAAAAAAATGTCTATGTCATTCCAATAGATGTTCTTCAAAGAATACCTGCAGAATGAATCCAAATGGCTCCTTTGCTGAAAGTGGAGGCTCCTCAGCAGGCTTCCTCAGTCCACGGGAATCACTGCCTTGCCGCGCCCGCTTCCTCATGATCCGTGCAAGGGCAAGCCAGTAGCTACGTGCCGTCATCTCGCCCGAAGGGAATTGGCTTCGGAGCTGTCCGAAATGCCGTTCAATTCTCACCTCATTGAGACCATGTGGCTGTCGAAACAAATCCCACTCCTCAGGTTTTGTATAGCACATAGTTGCCGTCGTCAAGGCAATCAGTTGCAGGTTGCGCCTTGTTTGAGGAGCAACTTGCATGCGGCCCTTTCCCACTTCAGCTCTCTTTTCTTTCTCGCTGGCCAAAATGGACCAAAGATCCCAGCAAATAAAGCCAGCCAGGGCGTTCTCAACACGATGTTCCAGCAGCATGTTTCCATGCAAAGCTGGTGCCTCATCTGGAATATGACTCGTCAAGAAATGGTGAGCCAACAGACATGTTTATAAAATGTCTCCAGGGTCCATTGATTTTTATAAAATGCAAAGCCACTGTCACCGACAAAGCAAAGTTGATAGTGATGAACAAGATAAAATACAAAGAAACATAGATTCACAAAGTAAGGTCGTAGATCAAAATAAGACCATACTTGAATAGCAAACAGGCAACAACAGACAGTGCATTGGAGACATTCCATAAGAGGTTTCCCTTGAGATGCCATGGAATTTGAATGCTCTCCAGGCCATTGCCAGCATTATCCTCCAAAGGATGCTACAAGCTTTTGAACCCCTAAAACCGTAAGGTTGCTGTAATCTAAAACACGCAGCATGCATTTTATAAACGACAAACGTAACAAATACCCAAACAAAACCAAGCCGGCCCTGTCCTCCGCCAGAAACATCGGGTTGCTCAGAAGGCTGCAAAGGCGGTCGCTCATTGGATCACGGCGACTGAAAGCTGGAAGTGGCAAATCGAAAGCGAGCCCTCCACTGCAGTCTGTCATGAAGGATCCAAAAAACACCACCTTTCTGGGTGAGCATATCTGGGCCGCCGAATTTTTCAAGGCGTGTGCACTTCCGGGCATTGCATGGATGTATTCAGCGCGGTCAACTTGGCACAGCTTGATCGGGAATCTGGGCAACTCCTGTGCACAAGGACACTCCTGCCACGTTAGCCGGGAAAAGAACTTGAAGTCTTTGATTTTCCTGCGGAAAATTGCATCCAACTCTCCATGCACAACAGACCGCACCACCTGGTTTGCTGCCTCCCCGTCGAAGAGAAACACACGCACCCTGTCATGTGCGTGTGCCATCAACTCATCCATCATCCTGAAAATCTCCCACGAGCTACCCGCATCAGATGAATTCAGCCACTTGACGGCCAGTGGTAGGGAGAGGATGCTCCAACCATCACGGCAGCTACTGCTGGGGTCCCACATCAAGAACTCGAGCCTTAGCTCAATTTATAAAATGGGTTATGTGATTTGTTGTCTGAACATTCCTGACTGTTGCAACATCATTTTATAAAAAACAACTACACTAAATATATATATATACTATATATAAGCCAAATTCAAACGGGACACATTCTGTTGGCTTTGGCCTTTTCTTTGAACTCACAGCCAACCTCGAGGTCGATTTTCTGGAAGCTTCCTGGACGTTCACTCTGCAAGTCTCCCATGCAGAAAGGCGCACCCACCAGGCCACGGGACTTGTGAAGGTTCACCGAAGAATTCATGGGTTGTAAGTATGTGGCATCGAAGCAAAGGACGAACCGACGGCGTGACAGATTTCCATGGCACCGTGGTATCAAGCCATCAACTATGTTCAAGTTCTGAGAAGCCACACCATCAAACAGGATTGACAATGCTGGACACGGAAGACTCTGCTGCAACAGTGTGTCCAAGGACGCATGTGTCTTCAGAATGCCGCGGGCACAAAACCCAAGCTCCTTCAACAGGCTTGGGCTAGCGCCATTTGCTGCTAGAAGGACACCTGCTTCATTGATCAATTCCTGCTCCGTTTCAGTCATCTTCTTTCCCCCTTTTAGGTGCGTGATTCCACGGGACTGTCTGTCATTCAACTCGATGCATCGTAGCAAGATCCCCATGGCTGCAGGGTGACCAGCCAATGATCCAGTGGAAATGGATTTCATGATTCTGCAGTGAACCTTGCCGAGCTCAGTGAGGTTTGAAGATGCAAGTTGGGCTGTCCATGCATTGGACAGCTCACGAAGTTCAGAGCCAGCACACTCATGCACATTGATGCTCAAGCACGGCTTGACATTGATTTCCATGAACTGCTGCAACCTTGGTTTGAAGGGTTTAAACATGTATTTGCCAAGCCCTTCAGAAAGTGATTGTTTATAAAATGACCACGACAACAGGAAATGAATGATTGGTGAATATTCACATCAATGAACTGTATTAACTTTAGATCTTTACAATTCTGAGCCCAACCCTTCAGAAAGCATCAGAAAAGGTTTGTTTTATAAAATGACCTGTGGAGATGGGAAAACCTGATCTCTTGGGGAGCTAGCAGCTATATAGCATTTTAATGCATTTTATAAACCTTTTGTTTCCTCCAAGTTGCTCTGGCGTGATGCTCTCCTTGCTGACTTTCATCCATGACATGCGCACCCATTTTTGCAATGCCAAGGTGTTCTGATCCAACATCTCCTGGCCTCTCTTCACCTGCAGCCTGTAAAGTGCAGAATCTTTGAACTCTTTGGTCAGCAAAGCTACCTGCTCATCGGATTGGAAAAGTCTCGCACGTAGAATTTTAGCTGCCCACCACTTGAGGGCAAACCGAAGGGCGCTTTTCACTGCTGCTGCTGTCAAAGAGGCATGCTGGCATTTCTGGCAAACCACTTTATCATGTGGATTCTTCCTGTAGGTCACCCGCTCACAATCCTCATGGAACACCTGCAGTGTCTGCTCCTTCACATTGAGGACATACTTGTGTTTGGAAAAGGTCTTGCTCAAATTCGTGAAGCGTGCCCACAGGAGAAGCTCTGCAGAGTACAAAGAGGACTGCTGATCACTACCTGTCAAGTTTTGGCCTTCACATACAGCAGGTTGATCAGACTGGATGGGCGCAGCAGACTCTGACTCTGAGCTCAGCTCTTGGACATATCGTGCAACAGCTGCAATGTGTGTGGATCCTTTACAATGCTGACGGACAAAGTGGTCCACCACCTTCTTTCGGGCCGCATGGCATTCAAATACCTTCCCTTCAGGCTGTGCGACGCTCTTGCAAACAAGGCAACGCACTGGAAACCTCTTGTCGAAAGAATTCTCTGGCATCTTTTCAAGGTACGGGCACCTGGCAAGGATTGCAAAAACATCTGCTGGGTCTTCAGTGTCCGCCTCCTCTGCAGCATTCTCCTGACATGGAAGAGTTTATGAAATGAGTTGATGCCATGAAGATGATTGAAGAAGTTTATAAAATGATCCCTACTAGATCCTTATAGTTTAGGAAATGGTGTCTGCCTGCTAGATTCTATATCCTTATAGATTGTGATAGTTTATGAAATGGTGTCTACCTTCTAGATTCTAGATGCTTCATGATGCTTCTATGACCATGCCATACCCAGCTCCTCAGCCTCTTCAGGAGGCTCATGTGCAGCCGCTGGATCTTCAGCCGAGAGCGGAACCAATTGAAGGTTCTCAAGTGCTTCCGGGTCTTGATTGCCGTCAGGAGAGGACAAAGGAATCGATGAAGACTCTTGGGCAGGTAACCCATCAAGGAAAGCACCCAAATCGGGATTGAGAACCTTCAGCTGGGTAATGGCGGGCGACTCTGGGTAGTTTTCGTCAACTGAATGCTCCAGGTGAGCTCTCAATACGTCCATATTGAATCCCCGCCCCTTCAACATTGCCAGGCATGTGGTGCAAGAAGGCTCCTGCAGGCTTGCCAGTGACTCTTGCAGTCTCCTAAATTGCTTGCACTCGAAGGCTTGTCCGAGTCCAATTCTGCGGTGGTATTTTTGAGAAAAGGACCAGGTCACTTCTATTGAGGCAAGATATGCCTTCACAGCCGCAAGTTTGCGCTCACTGTGTGTCTTTTTCTTGGTCTTGCATGTCCGACGTCTCTTTCTTTTTTCTTTTTTGGATTTGGTTGATGTCTTCTTTTCCTGTGCATCACGGTCGTCTTCGCAAGCTTCCTCTTCTTGCACAGGTGGCTCTGCACGAGGTTCCTCAACAGGCAAAGTTTCTTCCACCATGGCCTTTAGTTTCTTTCTTTGGGCGCGACCTTTGCCAGGCTCGGCTTTTGCAAGGCCTGGCATAGAAGGCGGAATCTCAATCGGGCCCGATCTTCGCGAGAGATCCATTGCTCCAACCTGGGCTCCGACAGTTGTGACTTTGGCCCTCTGGTCCTCACCATCCGTCTTTCTGGGTGGTGTTGTCAAATCGACAAAAACAGGCAACTGTGATTTCTTTCTCTTCTTCGGAGTCTGAAAATCTTCCCTTTTCACAGCATTTGGCACAGTCTCTCTGACATCATGTTCCCCTTGGCCATCTGTTGGGGCATGTTCTTCATTATCTTCAGGCGCAACCAAGTTGAAAAACAATGATTGCCAGTCCGGGTCTGTGCTCACCTCAAGCCAAAATTGAGAAAGCTGGTCTCGCACGCTCTGCATGGCATTCTGGAAGGCTTCCTCTCCTGTAGACAGGAACGGGTTTCCAGTCTGCAGTGCCATCAATGCCCATACTGCACAGTTGCCGTCTGCAGGCACATCACTAGCCATGTATCCGCTCGGCTCCAGCCAAGTTTGAATCCTCTGAAAGCGCATAGATTTCTCAAGGCTCTCCTTCATCGACTCGACAAAACTCCAGCGACTTGGCTTCAATGCTCTTCGACTCTGGGATTCCAGCAAGGACCGCAAGGTGTCGATCTCAGCTTGAGTTTCCTGCTGAATCTGAGCTCTTTCGTCGGGCGACAGCATCGTTGCAATCCACAAAGGGGTGAAATGGTTGACTGCCGAAAGGTTGCCAGCAGCAAATGATGCTGACGACAGAAGGAATGTCCATGGTGCACCTTCAATCTCTCTCTGTGGCAGCTTTGCATCGGGCCATGTGTTGGCAATCATCTCCCAACAACTCACTGCATGGGGATGCTGTTTGGTGTCCAGCTCGTGCGTCACCAAAAGAACCTCCTGTCGAAGGCAAGAACGCAACAGCATGCAACAGCAACTAGGGACCTGTATTCCCATCCCCAGCTATTTTGTGTTTATAAAATGACCATCGTACCAAGAAATCAGGCAATTTGGCCAATACCAGGAAATACCAGGAACCTGGAAAGGTCATTTTATAAAAGCAAATGTTGCTGAATGTGTGCACTGTTTTTTTCTGGAACCTTACCACCTTCCTACCCGTAGTCATGTCTTTTTCAACCTAAATAATGAAGTTTCCTTTGTTTAGCCTCCATTTTCTGATTGCCTGTGTGACAAAATCTTTGGTGTGTTGTTTTTCCATCTTTTCCATAGATAGGAGAGAACCAAGACAATTGTGCAGTGTGTGATGGATGTTGGTGGCCATTTGGTTGGCATGATGTTTCTAATATCTCTGTTAACTGCACTGTTCACTCACCAACACTGTTCTTGAGAT